TAAGGGGCGAGCTGAGGACCACCTCCAGGTGCGGGATTTTCTCGCTGCGTTGAAGACCCATTGGTGGCCTTCGGCTGTTGTCTGCTCTTTGGTCGGGTTGTTGTCTCTTTGACATATTCCCCATTTCCATTCTCAATTTTACTTTTTGATTTTCGAATTCAAGGAGCCAAAACAATTGGCAGTATCATACCACCTCCTTTCAGTTTAATAGTCGTTGCAAGGATAGGATAATTTACAAGATTTACACAATGCTGTAGTCACGGCTTACATTTCCATACTAAAATATTTGTTTGGTATTGTATACTAGTATGCGAGCGTCTTATTACTTATGTTTTAGTTACATATATAACTTGTATTCTTTGATCTTAGGCAAAAGGTACTCCTTCAATCTTAGCCAACCGATGTTCATTCGATCTTGGGCAACTGACATTCATTCGACCTTAGGTAACTTGTACTCCTTTGATCTTGGGCAACTGATGTACCATCGATCTTTGGCAACTTATGTTTCTTTTATCTTTGGCAACTGATGATTCTTTGAAAATCTTAGGCAACAAATATTCATTCGATCTAAGGCAACCAAAAAATGAAAGATTGTTTACATTAAGGTCACTAGTGTTCCTTTGATCTTGAGCATTAACATTTCTTCGATGTTCCTGCGATCTTAGGCAATTGATGTTACTTTGATCTTAGGCCATTGATGTTCCTTCGATCTTAGACAACTGATGTTCCTGCGATCTAAGGCAATTGATGTTACTTTAATCTTAAGCAATTGATGTTACTTTAATCTTAGGCCATTGATGTTCCTTCGATCTTAGACAACTGATGTTCCTGCCATCTTAGGCAATTGCTAGTAGTTCGATGTTAAGCAACTGATGTTCCTTCTATCTAAGGCCAGTGATGTTCCTTTGATCTTTGGCAACGGATGTTCTTTCGATCTTAAGCAATTGATAGTCCTTCGATGTTAGGCAACTAATGTTACTACGATCATAGGCAATTGATGTTACTTTAACCTTAAGCAATTGATGTTACTTTAATCTTAGGCCATTGATGTTCCTTCGATCTTAGACAACTGATGTTCCTGCCATCTTAGGCAATTGCTAGTGGTTCGATGTTAGGCAACTGATGTTCCTGCTATCTAAGGCCAGTGATGTTCCTTTGATCTTTGGCAACGGATGTTCCTTCGATCTTATGCAATTGATAGTCCTTCGATGTTAGGCAACTAATGTGTTACTACGATCGTAGGCAATTGATATTACCTCGATCTAAGGCCACTGATGTTCCTGCGATCTTTGACAACGGATGGTCCTTCTATTTTAGGCTACTTATATTCCTTCGATCTTTGGCAACGGATGCTTCTTCCATATTAGGCCACTTATGTTCCTTCGAACTTTGGCAACGGATGTTTCTTCGATCTAAGGCCACTGATGTTCCTTCGATCATTTGCAACGGATGCTTCTTCGATTTTAGGCCACTGATGTTACTGCGATCTTAGACAATTGATATTACTGTTCATTCGATCTTAGACCACTGGTGTTCTTACGCTCTTTGGCCGCTAATGTTCCTGCGATCTTAGGCCACTGATGTTCCTTCTATCTTATGTCACTAATGTTCCTTCGATCTAATTTATATAAAACCTAATGATGTTCCTTTGGTCTTGAGCAATTGCCATATTTCCAATGTTCCTGCGAAAACAAAATGGCGAAGATAGATTTTTATAAGATAATGAACTTTCTGTGGTATTTGTAAACGTTGATATCTTATCGTCTTAACATTTACCGCCTAGCAAAGAAAAACAATAAAACATTTTTTTAAAGATAACGAATTTAGTAACAAATCATTGCGGAAATCATTTTAAATATATAACAAAAGATTGTGTGGTTTCATTCACAAAATATACACATTATGTTGTATATTTGAAGTCTAAACGGATGTATATTTGTACTGGTTGCCTTTTATACCAAATGCAAGTTCTCAAATTCTAACATGATCTTATCGTATGGGTCAACTTGTTCTTAAAAACATCATGAAACAAGAGAATGGGTGTGGCAAAATCATGACAAGCTTTTTATCCTTTCAAAACTATATCAGTAACTTTATGATAAATCATTTATCATGGTGTTTTTGTTACTTTTTTTTTAGCTTAACGATTAGACTTTCCCGATAGCGGCACATTTTGAACTGTCTGATTCCCTACATCTTCGAAGTTTATATATTTAATCGACAGTATGACAAAGTGAACTCATTGGTTGATTGATTGTTGGTGTTTAACACCTCTTTCGTCACTCTTGGCTATATGATGGCGGATAGTTTCTATTGGTGGAGGATGCCGGGGTACCAGGAGAAAACCTTTGGCAGGAAAACTGGCAAGCTGGGTCAATTAAGATGGAAAGCGAACCCACAACCTCAATGTGACAGGCTAGTGGTCCCTATAGAAGAACTTCTTAAACCAATCGGTCATCGAGCCCTCCCCCTTTCCCGTTAGCTCATTGGTACCCATACAATTGCTCATAACAATGCTGTTATTATGCTTTTCAATATAAGTATGGTAGCATACTCTCTAAACTAATTGCTTTGGGATACCATAAGGCATATTTTGTTTATTAAGAACAAAAAGGTAAAACATGCTTCACATAGGAACAAGTTATCAGTAAGCTGGAGTTTCTTATTGACAACATATTTGTTGAATTTGGAGGCAGACTTTTTCAACAAATTGTCGGCATTCATATGGGAACGAACTGTGCGCCTCTCCTTGCCAGCCTCTTCTTATTTTCATATGCGTCGGAGTTCCTTCAGACAACTGTCAAAAACAGGAAGATAAAAAAAGCCAGATTATTTAATTTCACATTCAGATATATTGATGATGCTATTTCCATTAACAATCCAAACTTTCTGATTGGGTTCTATTAATAAATCCTCCAGAACTAGAAATTAAAGAAACAACAGACACGGCTTCCTTCGCCTCAATTTTAGACTTATACCTCGAATTTGACATAAGCGGTCATCTCAGTACCAGAATCAATGACAAACGAGGCGATTTTAATTTTGAAATTATAAATTCCCCCCAGCTTTGCAGCAATATACCAACTTCACCTGCATATGGGTAATACATTTCCCAACTCATTCGATATTCAATAGCTTGCAGCTGCTACTCTGACTTTAAACATGTCACCAGTGTCTGAGCAGAAAGTTGAACGAGACGTCTCGTCCTTTTACTAAAAAAAATTCATCAGAAGATACCAAGACCTATTCCGTATCAACCTCACAAATAATACATGACGGACTTGAAGTATATCTTCTAGGTACTGACGTTGTTTATCATCTTAATAATGTGTTATAGTGTTCCTTTTATTTTTCATTGTATATTTTTAACCTTTACTGTTTAGTCCATTTTTGGTAATATACTTTTGACGTGGCTCGGTATTTATACATCCCGCCATTGTGATATTGTGCTATGGTAATTTTTGTATCTGTATGCCATTTTGTTTTTCTTTGTTGAAATAGTTATTGTTTTTATAGGGATTAAGATTATAACACAATGTTGACTGCTGAACCCCAATTTTTGACATTTTTAATGATTTTTTCTGTTTGCTTTGTTCATACATTATTGTCAATATAATTGAATTCTATGCGACAGTCATACAAGTGAGAGGTTTAGCTAGCTATAAAACCAGGTTTTATCCACCATTTTCTACATAAGGAAATGCCTATATCAAGTCAGGACTTTCCTTTTTGAATTTCCCTTGGATTTCGGTATTTTTTTTATTTTACTTTCATGGTTTTCTGATATGTCACTTTTATTTCTGTTTAAAGAATGTAAATTTGGTGATACTTAAGATTCTTTTTTTTTTTCTCTCTCTGTGTTATATTTTTCAAATTCCAATACTTTACTTCGAGCATCATTTTCGAGAAATAAATTTAAAAAAAAAAGTTTGTTTGATGTATCAAATTACATTTGATATTTTTGTCATTTTGTATTGTTGTACCAAAACTTTATAGATTGTATCAATATCTTCTTTAATAGTAAACGCTTTACTGTGGTAATTCGAGTTTCTTGTTGTTTAAATTCTGCATGGATCCATCATTAAAACAGCAAGTTCAAGGGAAGTCAAGACGAATGTATGAAACTGTGTCAATTCATTTCTTTCTTTTAATACGCTGAAATTTATATATGTCAAACAATTTCTCATGTTCAACCAAACTGTTAAAAGAACAAGCAACAAATACAATAAACAAGTGTGTGTGCAATTAAAAACCACAAGTCGAAGAATGACTCCCAGACAACATCAAAGTAAAAAAAATGTAAAAAACGATTTTAAACAATTGTTACAGTCCAGGGAAAGCAGGTCCTGCTTTATCAGTGACATCCGTCCTGTTCAATATTGTATTACAACACATTACATCCAACTTGCATTGAAAATACGGAATATGCACAAATAACAAAATTAACAGAAACAAAAAGTAAAGGTCAGTTCACTCTACTAATATATTTTTTTTTAATTTCTTTTATTGTCTAGGTTAACATAGTTAATAGTGAATGTCGAAAGACGCGCGACAATCTACAACTATGTCAAAATATACATGCATTTTTTAAAGAAAGATATTTTACTTTTTTAAACGTCATATGTCATGATGTGTAGAAGTATTTTTTTCACATTTGGCATCAAGATCTTGAGGATCTTATTGGTTTACTTAATTCAGTGGTTACACCAAAAAATATGTGAATGAATATGTTGAATAAGCGTTGTCAGCTTAAACAAAAACAAACCTTCACTTCCTTTTCTTTTTCATTCAAAAAAAAATAATTGAATTAAATTGAACATATTCATGTCAAACCCCATATTCAATTTTCAATCTGTATATACTTGGTGCAAATAGCAACGAATACTGTTTGACCTATTTCAGAAATAAATTGCTCCGTCACTGTACAAACTATTAAGTTACGGGTGTGTCAATATACATTCGTTCAAAATGGATCAAATTACATATTAGCAAACACAAATTGTATGCAGACCATCGTAGGTAGCTGACATAGAGTGAAATAATTTTCTCTCTTTCTCTATAGATATCTGTGTTTATTTTTTAAAACATACTTCAGTCGTATCATATACGGATGCGAAATTGTATTTTCATTTTATTCTGTGATCATTTCCGGAAAATCAAAAGGATTGTATGCATAAGACAAAAGAAAAACTAAACAGGAAACTCCTATAAGACACACACGAAATGCAACTTAAAGTTAGATAAGATAAAATAGTTGTATAAAAGAACTATTATATTGGTTCAGTGTGTCTTACGCGCAATTGTGTGAAAATATGTTGTTTAAGGTCCTTGTATGGGGCTAACTACATGTACATTAAGTCCGAGAATGAGTTTTAATAATAATTTAAGACAGGTTCAAAACACTTGGACACCAATTAATTAAACAGTTAACTTTTCGTAATAGCACTGTATGCTGATCTTACTCACATATGGTAAAGTTGCATATCAGTGTCAGCATTATACTTACACCGTATGGATGAACTTACAAGGTAATAATATTTGGAAAATACATCTATTATGCTGCTGGGCTAATGTTTTCTTGTGTTATTGACATTGCTGTTAGTGTATTAGGAAGTATATTGCTTCTTATACTGTACCTCAGATGTCCATTAATAAAGGAGTCATATTGGTAACAATTTATGTATAGTACCCACTTTTTTATACATGCACCAGTTCTATTTATTTTGATTTACGTAGTAGTTCATATTCACGAGGAAAAGTATATTTATGCAACGACCATACATCTTATATGTGTGTTTCTGTGTGCGTGTGTGTGTGTGAGTGAGGGGGGGGGGACTGGAAAAAAATAATTGGTTCATAAATGAAGCGAAAACATTGAAAACATTGAAAACTAGATATAAAATTAATATTACATTAGAATTTCAAAACTGATTTTCTTGCTCCTGTATATTATTGGGGAAACACGGATTTTTGTTACAGTCGAAAAAAGATTTTGTTACAAGAAAAAAAGACATTACTCAATTGATGAATAGTCGGTACATGTGTACCATTGTTTAAATGAAATATGTATGCTTCCATGTGAAACTAATGTATTCTATAGAATTTCAAATTCTTCCCAAACAAACCCGCCCACAAAGTATCTTATCTTGAAGTATTGCAGGCCAACACCTATCCGTGTGCACTTCAACGGGGAAATAGAGTTGTAAAGTTATTTTCGACCCATGGAAAATGTCGAGAGATAATCTTACATGCAGTATTGTTATTATGAAGGACAAAGTATATAAAAAATAAACGGCAAAGTTTTACATAAAAGACGACTCGCGTCAGTGTACACAAATTACAAATCATTTCTTCATTGTGGAATGAACAATGTATGTGTATTTAAACTCAAGATTGTCGATGTGGTTAAATGAATTGCATGCCTCGACAGAATGATTTTGTGGTTGGAGATGTTGATTTCTTTTAATAATAATCAAAGTCAACAATTAGGAATTAAAAACACGCATTTTTTCAGGTGTCAATATTAATGTGCAGGATAAAAACAATTGTCTGAAAATATAAGATCAATATTTTCTAGCTACGAAACAAGAGAAGAGTGAGGCGTCTTTGGTAAAAATGTCAACTATCATAAGGAACTAAACCTGTAAAATTATCCTTGACAACATTTATGTACGTCAATATATATTTATATATCACAACTCGTTTTCTATGCCCGTGCCTGTAGTGACGTTTTAGAGTTCAATGAACGTAATCTATGTATCAGTGGTAACTTATTAAATTGGGGGAAATATTTCGTTACCACAGATTTCTTAAAACCTTTACTCAATTATTTCATAGATTGGGTTTGGCTTTACCTGTAGAAAAAAACTATTTACAAACGGGAAGTCACATCATAATGTTTACGGTGATGTTGTTTATAGAGCTCGTAAATTTAGATACGATCCATGTAAACTTATCGATCCTTTAAATACGTTTGTTCTAAAAGGCTATCCATTTAACACTGAAATAAAATCTTTGAATATTGTGTTTATGTGTGCAAACATTGATTTTGTAATCAATAAATTAAAATATAATACATATAGTTGATAACGTTTGATTTTGTCAGTTTTTGTGGACTTCCCCTTTTTGATCTTACTTTAGAGTTCGGTATTTTTGTTATACTTTTTATTCCGCTTTGAAAATTTACGGTCCTACATTCTATCGATACCGAAATTTGGCATTGCACTAGGTCATGTTTTTCTCTGACTGTTTATGACGACTTTACGCTAAATGTGTACTGATTGATAGTTTAGCCTTAGACATTTGATTTTCTTATAAGTTGTTATTGGCTTCGAACGTGTTTTCAGTTACTGCTAGTACTCTCAGATCTGTTCATTGTGCTTAATACCTTTTGTTAACTGTTTTTTTTTTTTATTTGTGTCTACCTGATGAGTCGAGTCTTTTTTAAACCGATTTTTTTATAGTTTGTTCTTATGTTGTTACATCACTATCCGAGGTCAAGGGACGGGTTGGGCACCCGCAAATATATCTAACCACGCCACATTCTATATGTGCCTGTCGCAAGCCTGGAGCCTGTAATTTAGTGGTTGTCGTTTGTTGCTGTTTATCATATTTGTTTTTCGATTTTTTGTTTTGTATAGTTTGTTCTTGTGTTGTGCTGTTGTACAACTGTCCCAGGTTAGGGGATGGTTGAAAGCCCGCTAACATTTCAAATCTTGCCTCATCATGTATGTGCCTGTCCTAAGTCCGGAGCCTTTTATTCAGTGGTTGTAGTTTACTGCTGTAGATTATATTTGTTGTTTTTTTTTTTTATGAATCTCGTTATGTTCTCGTTTGAATTGTTTTACATCTGTCTTTTACAGCTTGCGATGTGGTATGGGTTTTTCTCATTGTTGAAGGTTGTTGTCGTAGGGTGACCAATAGTTGCTAGCTTCTACGTTATCTGAACTCTGGTTTTCAGTTGCAGTTCTAAAAATCGGCATCTTTAAAGTATGATAAAATATCGCGTAGACATTTAAAGTAGGATAAATATACTTAGTGAAAAGGTTAATAAAAACTTTATTTTATTCAAACTGTTATTACGCTTGGACATTTCACATTACTTTTCATATGGCGATTTTACATATGGAAGAAATTACCAACCATATTAAATGAAAACTGGGGTATCATTTCAATTTGTTTTCATAACTTTGATTTGATTGATATATCCGATAAATAAATTTTCAATAATGCAGTAAAAATTGTAACTTGATATTTTTCAACTGAATAACTTTACTTAAAACATCTTACGAGAAAAACAATTTATAATGAACAAAACATGCACACACCATTCTAAGACGAGCGGTAATGTACTTCCGTTTTTCCGATGGTTGAATGTCGTTAATCCATCTTAATATATACAAACCAAGATAAACCAAACGTAAGAAATCGCATGAAACCAAACGAAGCCATACCGGATACGTTAACAGGGTAAGCGTCTTAAAGATCGGACTTCTTTTCTGTAACATTATGATCTAAGACCGGCATCAACAATGGACTAAACCCATACATAGTAAGCTAAAAAAAAAGCCTCGACATGACAAAAAGGAAAACAACAAGAACGAGAAAATCAATAGCAACCACTGAATTGTAGGCTCCTGGTTTCGAACAGGTAAATACAGAATGTGACGGAAAACATGCATAGCAACATTTGTAGCGCAGACAGCAGATATATACTAATAGGACTTAACAAGCGTTTTATGCTTGGTTGCTGCATGTTTAGAATTTTCAGCTGATCATCAGTAAACTTCAAGGACTTTCAAGTACTTACAAGTACTTTCATAATATTATACATATATGGACATATTTCTGTAATTATTTGTAAACGAGAGTCAGAAATATATATAGAATGTTGTCATTCAGCTTTTCTATAACATATATGTAAATAATATTAATAACTTCAATATCTTTTTTTACAATATACATATACATTTTCCCTTTTTATTACGTGTTTTACTTTCAATAAGTTTGATTGAAATCAACATCGCTTAAGCATGGCCAGTGGAAACGCAACATAAGCTGTTAAACATTCAAAAGTTATCAGTTGCCATGAAAAGTAAGTATAGGAGCTGGATACCAGTCGGCTTTAATACTTCAAAGTTTTTGATTTTGTAAATAGTTATTCCAGGTTTTTCAAAAGTTTTGCATATAAATGGACATTTAATCAAACATGAGAACGGAAAAAATAAACGTTTATTTTTTTTAAACCGTTTTTGAAAATACTGAATTATAGATTCGAACAGTGTAATTTCTGTTGTAACACAATTTGGATTCGAACAATTCTCTAGATATTACATAAAAACAAATGTGTATTTCATTAATAGACTTTACATTTTGTTATATACAATCATATTTGACATTCGTACATGTACTACTACAATTACGCTGATACATGTATCCTGCAGCAAATTAATAACTTTGTACAGACAAGGAAGATCGAACAGTATATAAAAACTGTGCAAAAAAATAGAAAGGAGAGATTCCACCAGGTCTTCTCCCCCTCATGGGTAAGCAGGAATTCATTCACCACCAGAATTCAAACTCATCATGACCAAAAATAAACCAAACGATCACGTGCCCGTGTGACAATTTGTGAACTTTCGAACAATTGAAAATTTGAACTTTAAAACATTTTTATCTTTGTATTTTCGCAATAAATTTTTTTTTTTATTTCTAAATCGACTTCGGTATACTGTTTATTTAATTTTCAGACTCATCTATTAGGATAAATTCAAAATTGTTTAAGACACTTTGCGTCAGTCAAGACCTGTTCATTCAAAATAATTACTTAGCTACTATTTACATTTGAAAAATAGTAGATATAGAAATAAGATGTGGTAAAAGTATAATTGCCAATGAGACAACTTTCCACCATTTTTTACATAAGGAAATGTTTAAACCGCTAGCGATACACTTGTATGAGTGAACAGCATTGAAATTACAGACAGAACAATTAGTGTCAGAAAAATAGATTAAACTCTAAGTAATCTATTAAAAGAACTAAAAAAAAGAACATCTTCAGAAAAGTCTGAAATTTCAGTATGAAAGGTCACCATCATCTGTGTTATAACATAAGCCCATTTACTGACTGTTACATTGTAGAGGGTTGAATTGGTCATAGTTTAATCATTGGCTACGATTTAGAAAAAAAATTGAAATACGATTCTTTTTGTTTCAAGTAATAATAAAAGTGGAATTTTGAAATAATATTTCGTCATAAGCAGTGATCAGTTTGGCCCGAATTTGTCAAAATTAGCTCAAAAACATCGCTGTTGTATTATTGACTTGCAAAGCAATAACTCAACCTCATGTATATTTGTATTCATGTGACCTCCAATTTAACCCATTAGCTGGAGATGTGTTACACATGTACTAGTCGTGTTCAACTTTCAAAGTAAATGAATGTCAAAATTGAAAGTGAAACAAAGGTGAACCATTTCGTTGACTGATTCGATCCACCAAAAAAACATTCTTATACAGGTAAAAACGATGATTTACATATTTTATTAAACCTATAACATGAAATCAAACAGACCCAGAAAAATACAATTGCAGGTGCTCACTTTTTATATCTATTTATTTTTATATCGGGTTATATGACCGTCGGCAGTCTTCGGTGGTCATGTCGATGCATGGTTAATTAGATGGTGTCTAGACTAAAATACACACGAAATCAGGATAAAAATTATCGAGTCCATGCATTGTTAATTGTTTATTTCAGACTTTTTGTAATTTGGATAGACGTTTTAGCATGTTATAAATCATATATGAGAATTTGAGTCAAATCGGTGAAACAGAACATGAATTTAACAGCTAATGCCCGTTTAAATTCTCCGTAACGATGACAAGAACTGCGTTTTACTAAAGTTGGTACGAAATACGACCAGTGACTATTTATAGAATATTGATTTTTTTAACTGGTTGTACACGAAAGTCGACAATGTTTAGGAAACATAAGCCAAATATAAAGGTCATATGTATTGTGTAATGAATTCATGCTATCAAATGTGTATACAATTGTATATATCCATTATACTTGATCCTTAAAAAGCCTAGTACAGCAATCGATTGTAGTTTTGTTTTCTTTTTTACACGAACCTTTTATTAGTGAATGTTCCTATTTAAAATTCCTAATATTAAAAATTTTATTATTTTTAGGAAACTGGCCTTATCAATTCTTTTGATGCATGCACGATATGTAAGAAATTCTAAAAAATATATTTGATCACTGACTGTACTTTGCAAGACTATATTCAATATCTAGTGTGCTATCTATAATTGCTTGTTTCTTGTTGTATAGAAATAAGGGACTTTTGCTTGTTACCTGTTGTATAGAAAAAGGGCTGGTGCTTGCTTTTTGTTCTTGTATAGAAATAAGGGACTATTGCTGTTACCGGTTTTATAGAAAAAAAAGGTACTATTTTACTTGTTTCTTGTTATGGTATAGACATAAGGGACTATTGCTTGTTACTTGTTATTGTATTAAAATAAGAGACTAATGCTAGTTTCGTGTTATTGTATAGAAATAAGAGACTAATGATTGTTACTGGTTGCATAGAATTAAAAGACGAATGCTTTTTATATGTTACAGTATAGAAAAAGGGACCTTTGCTTGTTACTAGCTATTACATAGAAATAATGGACTAATGATTATTACTTGTTATCGTATAGAAATATGAGACTATTGCTTGTTACTTTTTATCGTATAGAAATAAGAGACTAATGCTAGTCCCTTGTTATTGTATAGAAATAAGAGACTATTGCTTGTTACTTGTTATTGTATAGAAATAAGAGACTTATGCTAGTTTCTTGTTATTGTTTAATCCACCATTTTCTACAGAAGGAAATGTCTGTACCAAGTCAGGAATATGACAGTTGTTTTCCCTTCGTTTGATGTGTTTGAGCTTTTGATTTTGCCATTTAATAAAGGACTTTCCGATTTGAATTTTCCTTGGAATTCGGTATTTTTGTTATTTTACTTTTTTTGTATAGAAATTAGAGTTTAATGACTGTTACTTATTGTATAGAAATAAGACACTAATGATTGTTATTTGTTGTATAGAAATAAGACACTAATGATTGTTATTTGTTGTATAGAAATAAGGGACTAATGCTGGTTACTTGTATAGAAATACGGGTCGAATGCTTGTTACGTGTTACAGTATAGAAAAAGGTACCTTTGCTTCTTTGCTTATTACTAGCTATTATATATAAAAATAAGAGACTATTGCTTGTTACTTGTTATTGTATAGAAACCAGGGACTATTGCTTGTTACTTGTTATTATATATATATATATATATATATATATATATATATATATATATATATATATATATATATATATATAAGTAAGGATCAAACGAATAGATTCAAGTGTCCTATTTACTTAGAATAAAGGTTAATTAAAAAAGTTAAGAAAATGTCTATTCAGTATTACAATTCGTAATATGATAGACAGTTTTGTTAATGTCGTATAAATTGGACATATACGCTTGAATGCGCGTGGTGTAGACAGCTGGTCCCCATTTTAAATATTTGAATTTATCACTTACAGTTAAGCATCTTTTTGTCAACAGCTACGTGCAGTCTCTTATAAATTTATCAAATTTTATGCAGTCAAATATTTGCAATATTGGTGTCATTATGGTTTTTTTTAACTTAATTTATTTTTTATAGTACCCTTTATAAAATATTTCAAACCATACACATTCATTGAATGATAAAACCACGCCATAAAGATCCCACCTTTCTTTCATAATAAGATCATGATTAAACAGTAAAATAAAGTATAAATTTCATGAACCCTGAACTACGACTTATATATATTTTGATAAAAAAAACTATCATGAAAGTCGCTACAACTATTAGTATCTTGTCGCATGATTGGTGAAATGTAAAATTATGATATACATTCTTTTTGTTGACATTTTATAGTTTTTCTAATGAGTAGCATTGTTGATATTGTATAACAAGATTCAATTGTGTATATATGATATATAGTGGTAACGTAATCGAGAAAGGGCAGCTCATCTTACTTTTAATAAAAACGAAGTACGTTGGTCGGGGAATGAAATAAGAGAAGAGGCTCTATTTGATACCCAGTTAAATGTCACTAAACCATAGTTACGCTTATACATCAAGCTTTACATCTCTGATTTGGAAATCATCATTCGTCTCTTATTACATTTATTTGTAAAATGAATGTCACGGTTTTCCGTACAAGGGTAATAAGTGGTATAGTTCAGTTACTTGAGGACAATGACATCGTTTGCTGCTGTGATTGATGACACGTTGGGGGAATGATTTAGCCCTATTGGATATGAATATAACTATACCCGTAGTTTTACTGATATTAAGATAAAAATTCTAGCTGTTTATTACAGGACTTAAAAGACTTGTATGTCTTTTTTATCATCTTTACTTTTTTTTTTAAATAGTACGATTTCAGTATGGTTCGTGTTACTCAACATGATCTTAAGTTTTCTGGACTGTTGTTTGTCATTTCGTCGTTTCTTCTTCTTGGTCATGGTGTTGTCTGTTTTTATTCGACTTATAATTATTCTATTTCCTCCTGAATATCTGCTCCCCGATCAGTCTATCGGTATTTTCTACGGAACTTTACTTTTGGTAGGCAAGGAACGTTCCAAGGTAGTCCAAAGAAAAACGCAAGTCAGAGTCTTTAGAAATTTGCGTACTTACTAAGTACATGAAATGAAATTCTTTTATAAATTATTTCTGTATTTTAATGGATTGATTACTTTTCATGGCTATAAAAGACGGCATGATAAAAATTTAACATGTATGAATCAGTTATTGGCCTCACTGTATTATTATGTAAATTGATCAATTAATTGTCTATTCTCGTTATAAATTTTTTTTTATCTTATAGGTTTACTGATCGATGGTCTTGATCAATTACCCATGGAGAGATAGGAAGTCTGTTGAAATGGAAAAAAAAAGTACTTTAGAAAACGTTTCCAACATAATGGACTTTAAATAGAAGTTCAGTTTAATAATGATACATGTGTGTATTGTAGATCTTCATAAAGCAGAAAATCAATATTAAGATATAACCATTTAAGAACGAGTGTAGCGATTTAAACCTTTCTAAATGCTGCTACTTAGAAGTTGTCTTCTACTGTGACGACCTTCTCACGAAAGTGCTCTCTTTATATACCCAGTTTAAAATAGATCATCGTTGGGGGTGTCACGTGATTATTGACCGAGTGCCCCGGATATGCCAGGCCTAGTAAAAGCTCAAAGACTACTAAACAAAAGGGAAATCTTCTTACACAATAAACATAAGTAAATCCTTCTTTACTTAGAGGATTGGAAACTGACTTTTATATACCACAGTAGCTTAAAGGATTAATATTGAAAAGACAAACAATTCTTGTGATAATGGCTTTTAAGAATTAGATCGATGATTTGTACCGTGCCTAAAGGATTTTGTGGTTATCATAAATTGAGCCTATTTAATTGAAGAAATTTAGTGGTATTTTCATTCTGTCACACCTACACGACTCTGAGCGCTTAAATTAAATACTATAGTACATCATATATAGTATGATTCAAATCATTATTATTGTTCACGTATTATAGAAAGTAACATGATATACTCTTACTTTTACTACCCTTCCATTGCTTTTCATTTGAATACCAAGTATTCGGTTTTATTATGGTGTTCTATATTGTAATGTGGTTGGCTTCCTGTTCAATAATTAATTGCTGCTTTGTGAATCCTTTTGTTTTAAAAGCGATGTTGGGGTAAAATTAACGATTTAGAAACTTAGCAACACAATCTGCATGTCAAATTACGATCGTTTTGTTTTATTTTAACAAAGATGTTTTTTTAATGTGTTTTAAATATTTTTTGGGGTAAAACTGTTGCTCATATATATTTTGATAAAAAACTATCGTTAAATAGCCTTTTTTACTTTAAATTCGTAAATCATTTCCACAATCTGGACACTTGTGATGTTGCTGTGATGTCATAAACATGTGGAAATTTACGAATTTAAAGTATAATGGCTATTTCACGACAGTTTTTTTTTATCAGAATATATATGAGCAACAGTTTTACCCAAAAAAATATTTTAAACACATTAACATCTTTGTTTAAATACATTTTGTAGCAAAATATCTTTTTGGATAATGTTGTGCTCATATCTAAATATTAATGAAAGGATTTCAAAATGTGCTATTTTGGCAGTGTTTGCTGTTTTGTTGTTAATGTTGATTCAATTGTAGTTTGAATCCCCAATGCAAATATGTAAGACAAAACACAAAAATATAAAGACTGATATAACAGACACCATATTCTGTATGTGCCTGTCCCAAGTAAGGAGCCTGTAATTCAGTGGTTGTCGTTTGTTGCTGTATATCATATTTGTTTTTCGTTCATTATTTTGTACATAAATCAGGCCGTTAATTTTCTTCGTTTGAATTATTTTACATTAGTCATTTCGGGGATTTTTATAGCTGACTATGCGGTATGGGTTTTACTCATTGCTGAAGGCCGTACGGTGACCTATAGTTGTTAATGTTTGTGTCATTTGGTCTCTTGTGGAAAGTTGTCTCATTGGCAATCATACCACATCTTCTTATTTTTATATTATGTCTAATGAACGTAAAAAGGGTGTTATTTTGGTATATTTATAATACCTTTTGATTTTGAAATTCAAGAGGCAGAAAAGTTGCCTTATCATACCTTCTCCTTTATTTCAACCAAATATTCAGGACAAATTGACTTAAAGTAGTTAACCCTTGAATCGCCATTGCTGAAAATAAATACTAAATATGTCTTCTCCCCAGCAATTGAAACACAGTGTTTCATGTTAATGTTTTAGAGACGTGCAGATTTAGAAATGAATTTCGGCAAAGAGCTATAAGCAGACTTGCATTAATGATTAAACTCATCATAGTTACGAGGATTAATATTTTGTATGTCTACATAAAACTCACCAGCGACGTTCGAATCAAAAAAGTTAAAAGGTCAAATAAGGTACGAAGTTGAAGAGCATTGCGTCTTTCTAAAAATATATATGTATCCAAATATAGCGTTCACATCAAATAAGATATATTATTAATAATAAATTGTTACACTTTAACAATTTCGTGCTAGCTCTTGTTTATGTAAAAGACTGAAGAACCTTCGTCTCTAAATTATACGTTTCATTTTTTGTACTTTTGTGACTTATTAGTTTAGTCTCACCTGAAGCATAAGAGTATGTAAGTAAGTATATACTTATAACAACATTAATATGTATGCCAAGTACTTCCTGTTCATGTTTACGTTTTGAAATTATATATCAGTGAAAGTCTGTCCTCCTGGTTAAAGTACATGTACATTTATTTATGTATATTTCACACATGCAAAATATGTTGTATTGTATATATTTTCATCTCTGTAACTATGTTATTTAGTTAATGATAATAAAGATATATATATCTATCTAAAATTAACTTGATATGCACATTAACTTTCATTTTATTAGTGTTTTGTATGTTAATTGTCAAAATATTGCTTCTATTTATGTATAGATTACATGAATCACATGTATCACATGTATCTACATAATGTGCTTGGTGAGTAAGTGACAACTACAAGCAGCATTAGATTAAGATCAAATTAAAATAAGGAGATGCCGTACGAATGCCAATGAGACAACTATCAACCAGAGACCAAAGGATAGGGGTTTAACTAAAGGTTATTGTACGGCCTTCAACAATGACTGAGCAAAACACATACCATGAATTAAGTAAGCTAAAGAAGGCCCATGCATGAAAAAATGTTAAACAATTCATGAGACAAAAATTCAAATTAACAAAAATGAAGTTCTTTCAGAGGACATAAAATATCTGCATGTTTTATATTACATTAAATGTCGATAAAATATTCTTTTTCAAAGCAAAAAAAAAATTAATAAAAAAAAATAAAAGAATAAAAACATTAGTTCGCTTATCGTGCCCAAAAATAATAACGTAAATAAAGGCAACAGTAGTATACCGCTGTTCGAAACTCATAAATCGACAGAGATAAAAACAAATCCGGGTTACAAACTAAAACTGAGGGAAACGCATCAAATATAAGAGGAGAACAACGACACAACAAAAACACAACATTAAAATGTAACACACACAGAAACGAACTATAATATAACAATGGCCATTTTCCTGACTTGGTACAGGACATTTTAAGAAAAAAATGGTGGGTTGAACCTGGTGTTGTGGCATGCCAAACCTCCCGCTTTTATGGCAACGTCAAACACAACACCAAAACGACAACATCACATGACAGGAACACAATACAAATAAATGGGAGAACATATAGGACAAAGAAACACACGAATAATAGCTAACAAAAGGTACTAGGCTTAAAATTCAATACGCCAGACGTTGCGTCTCGTCCACACAAGACCAACCAGTGACGCTCAGATGAAAAAAGTTTGAAAGCCAAAACAAGTACAAAGCTGAAGAGCACCGAGGACCAAAACTTCCAAAAAGTTGCGCCTAACACGGCCAGGGTTTTCTGCCTGGGACAAGAACATCCTTATTATTTAGAATATTTTATAATTTTGCAAACAGTAAATTTTATAAAATGACTTTTTAATAGATATACATGATGAAACCGAAATGGGGACTAACTACAGAATAAAAACGGGTACATTACATAAAACAACTTAATCCAACACATAAAAATACACAGCCGAGTTAGAAAAAGCCTCAACGCACAAAGTGACGTCACATTTGAATTTGTAAAAACATTTCCCAAAAATAAGATAGGATTAGGATTGATTCAAGATTAGATTTGTAATACTGACATTACATTTATTAATAACAATGAAAATTATAATACTTTTTAATATCAAATTATGGTAGTAATTAGATAATTAATTGTATTATCTAGCTATGTCGGTGTTTCTTCTGAATCAAACTGTAAACCAAATATATCGTATAAATTTCGTTGAACCAAACTAAAATCTAATAAATGAAGGGGGTGATTAATTATCTTTACCATAACACACGAATATAACAGAAAAGACGTTAAGACATTTGACAAAATCCGACGAGAATAACAAATATAACATCAAAATTAAATACATGAATTTGGGACAGAAAAGTACCGTGACACGTCTTATAGCAATGCGGTTTCACACTAAGCAAAACAGTCACAATCGGGAATAAGTCACGTTCGGTAATTAAAAGATCAGACGACGTAATGACAAACCACAATCTAACACGTGGTAAAAATGTCCTTAGTTAGTTTGGACAAAGACACATCGTATGCATCAACCAATTCGTGATGGTGTCCGTAAAATTTACGGAGTGTCATTTTTAATCTGTCCTCCTCATAACTTTGTTGGAGCAGTTTCTGCGTAAGGAGCACACTCCTGTATATGAAGTCCGTATAGTCTGAACAAGCACGAGAATAACGTATCAATTGAGATATGTAAACACCATACGAAGGGGCAGAGGGTATGTTACTGCTGAGAAATGGGAAATTGATAATTGGGAAGTTGAAATCCTCCCGTTTATCATAGATTTTCGTGTGAAGTCGTCCATCTGTGTCAATATTGAGGAAAAGATCAAGGTATGAAGCAGTCCTTCTAGTATCAGTAGTATCCTTAGACTAGCTTCATCAACAAAACATTCTAAAGAAACAAAATTGTACATAATATTTAATTGGAAAATATGTTAACTGTTTAATTTAATGATGATTTAAGCTTCACAACATATGTTATTGCACATAAAATATAAAGGATTACGGACGGTAGTTTATTCTCTTTTTCTTTATTCTTTCTATTTCTTTTTCGGCATTTCGAAATTTGAAAATTTATAATCTAAAACCAATAATCACAATCTTGCTCTTTTACTTCATGACCTCTTATAAGCATGGTGATTTTTTGTTCGTCTATTCTTTTCTTTATTATAGGAGTATAGTTTACAATATGTCTGTCAGTTATATAATCGCATCCAAATGACAAAAAAAAAAAAAAAAAAAAAAAACGATGAACGTGTTTCATAAAAAATTTTAATTTTTGTATTTTTTTTTATGTAGATATACATCCTGTTTTTTGTCTACATAAAAATTTCTACAATGTATATTTGAATAGCAATTTATTGTAGCCAATTCGACATTTCACAATCTTTCGGAAGGGATAGTGTTACGATACAGTTGTCAGATCATTAAGGATGACATATTTTGGTATTAATATTGATTCACTCATAGGGTCTTTGCATCGGAAATAAACACATTTATTCTAAAACCAGTTGTTGGCATGATACGGGTTATGTTCTTCTCATATATTTTATGATGGTATGATACTAAACCCCTAACGAGAGGGATTGTACTTGATTTTCATATGATGAAGACATAATCTTTCAATCAGTTTAATTGAGGTCTGGAGCTGGCATGTCAGTAACTGCTAGTAGTCCTTTGTTAATTTATGTATCATTGTCATTTTGCTTAGTTTCTTTTGTTACCTATTCTGACATCGGACTCGGACTTCTTTAAACTGAGTTTTACTTTGCGTATTGCTATGTGTTTCTTTATTCTACATTGGCTAGAGGTAT